TTTATCACTTATTTTTCTGGGAATTTTGCACTTTTGCATATACAGATGGCTAATAAAATCTGCCTATATGAGAATTCTTCTCGTAATGCACTGTCATAATTGGCATCTTAAAGTTCTCAGCTGTGTATGTAATCCTTTATTGTAATCACTGAAGGGGTTTGATTGATTGGGTATTGTAATATACTGTGGTGTTTGCATTAGTTGGGAGCACATGAGAATATAATATATCAATTTACCCAAAACAACATGTGAAGATAAAACTGATAGTTGTTCATGCAAAAAGTTAAGGATACATGATTCAAATGCTTTTCGTATTATAAGAACTTATTGAAGTCTTAACTACCCAAATATATGATCGAAAGAATTCTAAGTTCTGGTATAATGTTTGAATAGCATGTGTAGCAAGTCCCACAAATGGGCAAGAATGTCTCCTGCCAAAATGAACTTTGATAAGAAAATATGACTCCACCATCAAGAGCTTCTTATGGGCCTCATAGTATATTCCTTCAAACCAAACTATGGCTTTTATTCTACAAAATGGGAGTCCACTTGATTGCTGGAAGTTATTAGATTTCTCGAATTTATTGAAAAGGACTCTTTTGTTTGACTATAAGTGGAGGTTACTAGCATTTTAGAAAGAAACGTGTTGCAATGTGGTTTCTGAAACTAAATATAGCTTTTCTGCACTGTTTCTCCCTGTTACTACAGTTTCAGACATTTATGGTGCTGTATGTTTTGTTATGTTATGGCTATTAATATTATCATCATCAGCCTCACCAATGCAATGAATCCTTTATCCAACGATACCAATATGATATTTTTTCATGTTTATTTTTCATATGAATCCTCATCAGTGGAGAGAAGGCAACAGCTGAATGTGTTGCAGATGCCATTGCTGATAATCGAGCTGAGTTGGTTCACCTTCCATCCTCCATAAATCTTCATGCGCCATTACCATCTAAAGACTGCCCGACCTGTGATGGCACGGTAAACCTTTTGGTCTGAAGTACAGTTGACTTAGTTACATGCATTTTCCCACTATTTCAAACTCAAAATCAGTAATTTTATCCCAACTATAAGGGTTACCATCTCACAAACTGAAGATCTGCACTCATAAATGTCCTCCTATGTTAAGAGTGGTATGAGAGGGAGAGAGAGAGAGAGAGAGCCACTACGAGACTTTTCTCTCTTCTTCTGTTGTAATTGTGGAACACCCTTAACCATGCAACTCTTCTTATGCGATTCAGAAGTTGGGAACCCAACCTAAAAGTTACCGATGTCTTTATAAAAATAAAATAAAAGTGACAGTAGCATATGCTTATTTCTGCAAATTTCCCTACTTCCCTCCAGTCATGTTCTGCATTTTTTCAGCATCATACTTGACATGATAGTTTATTGTATTGCAGGGTGTGGTGGGCTGTCATGAATGCAAGGACAAATTACAAGTCAGAATCTCTGCAGATGATGTGAGCCATTTTGGGATTTTTCTAGTGCTTGAAAATGTTGTTGCTTTAATATTGCATTAATCTGAAATTCTGAATACTCCAACTTGATCTTCACTTTTGGTGAGATGCATGATTCAACAATAGGATGTGAATTCATCTCTTGTTTCCCAAGTCTAGAACTCAGCTATTGATTGTTTCCAATTACTTTCACAGTTCTCTGTACATTAAATGATTTACTGTTAGAATATTTGGAGTTCGATTTAATATGTTACATAAGGGAAGCGTGTTATTTCGAGCAAACTTGTGTTAAACATTTAAAGGGAAAATTTATACGACAGCTGATACTTGAGTCCATATCCATTTAACTGGTTATGGATGGAAAACATGCTATATTTATGAAATACGTATATACTGTTTTTGGCAGCTGATTATGTCAAAACGCTACTAGCTATGTTCCTTTTGTCAACAAAGATGAGTAATCAACAGGAGGGCGGCCCTTCACACCTTTAATCTGTCATTTATTACTCATACTATACCCATGTGTTGAAAACAACTTCTATCCATATATTGAGTTTGATTCTGACTTGGTTGAACAAATTTCTCCCAAGTTGGATCATTATCATGTATAGTTGTAAACTGGACTGCCTTCAAAGTTTATGATTATTGATATTAGTTAGAACTGTGGACATAGCATTTAAATTTTTTGAGCGAAATGCTGGATATGAAACTGCCTTTTTAGGTTATCTGCTTCCATGTTTCAAGAGTTTGAACGGTTTCCACTTTTTTTGGGTCTTCCATTATGATCCTGTTTGGCTGAAGGTTGATTGATTCTTTTGCTTTCTTCCCTTTAAATTTAAGGACATATCATCCTCATATGTATTTCAGAGTTTCTATAAAGTATTAATAAATGCTTGTTTGTTTTTACAGTTGAGTTGAAAGAATTTGTGGTATTATATTACCATGTTCTCTTATTTCATCAATTCATTCTTTATAATGCTTCCATCCTTATAAGCTCTTGTCTTTTTATTTTTCCTTGCAGATCATGGAGCCTCCGTGGAAAGCCTACAATGTTTTGAGGAAGATGGACTACCCCTATGAGGCCAGTACCAATTCTTGTCCTGTGCCATCTGAATTTTGTTGTTTGATAAGTATAATTACTAGCGAGAGTATTTTGCCATCTAAAATTACGTTGCCATGAAGCAATTTTCCCCCATCACTCCCCTTGCTCTCTCTGAAAGACCAAGACTTCTTCCTCATGTTCTTAAAAGAAATTGGGCCTTTTCCCTTCTGCAACCCACCACAACCCAACAAAGGGTCCAATGATGAACACAATATGAATTTATCTATTCTCGGCATTGAATTTCTCTCTCCGCATTTTCCTTACTTGTATGTGGCTGCTAAAGGATCTTAGGGATATCTTGATGACTCTGACTACAGTTAATAGAGTGAAACCTTTTTTTAACCATAGGCTCTCTGGCTGCAGTGGTAAACATTGCTTTGACCAGCGTAACTGGGTAAAGATTTAATCTGTTAAAAGAGTCAAATTTGGTGACTGTTGTAGGGTAGCATTGCTAGAAAGGATTCTTTGTGGATGAAGATAGTCAATCTCATATTGGATCTTTGAAGGGGAAAAAAAATGTTCAGAATAATGGTCCCAGTCAAGGCACTATCAAGGACTTAGAGCCATATCATCAAGCATGATAATATAGCTGCTAAAGACGCTTAGAAATATTAAGAAAATAGATATCATCACAAATTGGGGAAATGATTTTAATCAAAGACAGATGTGTTTGTAATCTTCCCGTTAATATTGTTTGTTTTCTTTCTAGACTACAAATTTTGTTTTGAACATGTTTATGTATTTAATTGGTGTTCTTTTATCAATTGGGAAGGGGGGATTCGAACTTGGGAGCTTAATTTGCCTTTTTATGCATAAATATACAAAGAATAGAACTAACGTTAGATATCAGTTTTGATATCTTGTTCTTATCTGAGTTCCTATTAACAATTTTGTTAACTGGTTCAGCATATAGTTCACAGCATGAAAGATCCCAGCATCGCTGCATTTTGGCTGTTTACCTTGCCTCAAGTTGCAGGTGGATTCGACTTTGATGATGATGTCAAGAAGAAAATTTGGTGGCAATACAAGGTTGACAATTCATAAATACTGTATTTCAATTCGGAACACCTTCTCAAATGCAAAACAGAATTCTATTAAAAATAAATAAATACTGTATTTCAGATAGTATACACCACCTTGTTTTTATGTTGTTATCATATTGTGATGGCAATATTTCCATGCTATAATTTGAAGATACTATAACAACATAAGCAAAATGTGAGCTTTACCTTGGTTTGGTGAAAAATATGTATTTTTTTTCTTCTTAAAAAAGAACCTACATATCCTTATTACCTGATCTCAATATCCCATTTCACATTGACATTTATTATATTTTACAATAGTTCATTAAAGGAAGATTGCAATAGTGCCTTACTATAGTTATCTATTCATCTGTTCCCTTGTTTGTTGATTCTTCTTGGATTAGGAGTCTATGCGGTATGATCAACTTCGTGATGTGGTGGCCAAGCGGAAACCTGGCTGGGAGAACTTACAGGAAGTAAGAAAAGTTGCACATAATAATCAGTTATTATGAAACATTCAGTTAACGAGTTGGTTTTTCTGTATTCTTTATTGTTTGGAAACAAAGACACTGCTCAAGCGCTGAAAATGTTATCATGGTCCAATTGAAAAGGTTGTTGGAAAGAAAACTTCATATCTTAAAGATTTATGAGAAAACAAGTTTCGGTCTCTTCTTTTTATGCACTCCTCTTTCCTTTTCTTCTTTTTTTTTTTTTTTTTTTGAAGAAGATTTTTTCTCTTAATTTAAGCTTCAGCCCATAATTCCATATGAAAATTATTAGTCTCTTGTACAATATCTTCTTACTGAGGCAATATCTCATCACTATCTGCTTCATACTATTTCCATTGTTTGAAAGCTGGACTCATATGTTGATGATTAAACTCTTATACATATTAAGAGCTCATAGTTTCTGCAATTTCTATGAACTCCTCTTTCCTTTTCTTTTTTTTTTTTTTTTTAAGAAGATTTTTTCTCTTAATTTAAGCTTCAGCACTTAATTCCATATGAAAATGATTAGTCTCTTGTATATAGGCCTTGATCTCCATAGATCCTGCTCGAGCCAGGGAAGATCCTGTTATTGTAAAAAATATCCCTTACTATAAAGCCAAGAAAGCACTTGAAGCAGAAGTCATGAAACTTGATCCTCCACCAAGGCCACAAAATTGGGGTGTGCGTAATCTATCTTCAATCAATAGACTAGTTTTTATTCTTTGTATGTATCAGAGAGAAAGATAAGGAAGATGTTCACTCTTATTTTGGATAATTACGAACTCACTGTAGAGCATTGGCAGGAACTGGACCTTCCATTGAATGCATCTTCTTGGAGCAAGGAGGATCTCAAAAATCCTGAAAAGTTCTATGAAATGACTGTTCTTCTAAATGCTCAAAGAGAAATTGCTGATAAAATTTTGGATTCACAGTGGGAGAATAGATGGCGCCAGCAAAGGGTTAGTACTTATAAGTTTATGTAGCAATGAAAATGAACTTGTTTCCTTTCCCCTTTCTCTTCCTTAATGAACTTAAGAAATCCATAGGAAATGAAGCAAAAAGAATTTATCAATATAGCAATCTGATAGACTAATGCAATTTGGACACCATGAAGATGGTGAGTTAATTGGACAGAGTTCCCCAGAAGAAGGCCAAAATTTTGTATGGGGCATGCAACAACAATATTTTGGTCATACAAGTAACTTATTCCTTATTCCAGCTTGTAGTTCCCAAAAACTGACATGCAGATATCGTTCTTACATTTGGAAACTTACTTCCTTCCCATTTTGTTTTCCCTCAACCCAAAAACTGATGTGTTAGCTTGCTCTCCTTCTCAGCCTTAATGAACTTAAGAAATCCATAGGAAATGAAGCAAAAAGAATTTATCAATATAGCAATCTGATAGACTAATGCAATTTGGACACCATGAAGATGGTGAGTTAATTGGACAGAGTTCCCCAGAAGAAGGCCAAAATTTTGTATGAGGCATGCAACAACAATATTTTGGTCATACAAGTAACTTATTCCTTATTCCAGCTTGTAGTTCCCAAAAACTGACATGCAAATATCGTTCTTACATTTGGAAACTTACTTCCTTCCCATTTTGTTTTCCCTCAACCCAAAAACTGATGTGTTAACTTGCTCTCCTTCTCAGCAAAGGAATGAACTTGCCATCCCATATACTGCCTATAATTTCCATGGAGATTGACTTTCCAAATTACTATTGCCATCTACTACTGTAGTTATTTTAGCTATGAACATATTTTTATATTTTTATTTGTAAGTGCAATGACATTATATATCCATTTTGATGCTCAGTTGAATGAGATGTTGGAGGAGAAGGTACGTCCATACATGCAGAACATTGACAGTGGGATCCTCTCTCAGCCTATTATATTACCATCACAAGATCAGAATCAGAAGGTTTTACCCCTTTTCCCCTTTCACTTTTTTTTATTAACTCTTGTTGAGCATTAATTTATCCCGAATCTAATTTTCTAATCATGGTTATTTGATGAATCCTATTACTTGACCAAAAAAGGAAAAATAATCCTAGTCCTATACCCTTTCAAAAAATATTTACGTTTTTCCTATTTGTCATTTCTCATAGTGCTCAACTTCTTGCTATTGCAGTATTTGCTCATCACTGTTAAGATATTTGGTCTATGTATATAAGGCTGCCTTCTCTTGTACTTGTGTCTTAAATTTCCCATCTCACTCCACTTACCCTAAAATCCGACTCCGAAAATATACATCAACTTGGACTTTGAATTTTAATAAAAGAGTTACATTTGACTACACATGTAGTATTAAAATTGTAAACTACGTTTTAGAAAGTCCTGTACGTCCAATATTCATGTTATTCGGACAGCGGTTTCAGTGGATTCCAAAGCTTGATTTAGGCTTCTCTTTATGGTTGAGTGTCCAGTCGAGAGCTCCAAATTGACAGTTTGTTTAAATACTGGTGATCAGCCCTTTTGCCTCGATTAATTACTCTAGTGGTACTCTTTACAATTTGTATTGTACTGTATAATGAAAGTTCTAAGATATTGTTTGAACCCTACTTTTGGTTTCTATACAAATTCAAGAAAGTGCTTTCTACCAAAAAGCTTTTTTAAACACCTTAGTTCATGGTTGCTGAACCTTAGGACCACATTTTTCACTTTCAACACATTGTGGGTGTTGTGAAAATTATCATGCTGTTTTAGCCCCTCATATGTGAAATAAATTGACAGTCTGTTTAAATACTGGTGATCAGCCATTTTGCCTCGATTAATTACTCTAGTGGTACTCTTTACAATTTGTATTGTACTGTATAATGAAAGTTCTAAGATATCGTTTGAACCCTACTTTTGGTTTCTATACAAATTCAAGAAAGTGCTTTCTACCAAAAAGCTTTTGTAAACACCTTAGTTCATGGTTGCTGAACCTTAGGACCACATTTTTCACTTTCAACACATTGTGGGTGTTGTGAAAATTATCATACTGTTTTAGCCCCTCATATGTGAAATCTTGTTTCTTAACAATTGAGGTTTCACCTAATATCATACAATGCTGTAACTCTTTTGTGTTTGACGCCTATAATTGTTGCAGAAGACCCGACAACGGAGATGGTGGTTCTTTTGATGATAGTTTCAACAATTTTTGTACCCAGAAAGCACTGTGGACTGCCTCGAGCTCTTTTCATTATGTATGATTTTTTGGCTACACTGCATCGTTCCACCCGGTGTGTATTGCTTATTTTAGTAATTAATTTCCCTTATAACTCTCAGCTTATCTTCCATTTTTGAGGCTATTTGGGACAATAGTGATGTAAATGAGGAGCAACAAGCTTTTGATGTCAAATTGACAATGCATTCCGAAATTTGTAGAGGAGGAGTTGAAATCCAAATAGAATTCCAACCATTAAAAAAAGATTCCTCTAGAAAGAAAATGGAAGGATCAGATAGTAGGCAATGATGGGACCAAGGAAGCTCATATGCAATAGCTTGAGGCTTAGCAATTAGATGGATTTTCGTATAAAAAGAAAACTAGCTTTCTACCAAAAAGCTTTTTTAAACACCTTAGTTCATGGTTGCTGAACCTTAGGACCACATTTTTCACTTTCAACACATTGTGGGTGTTGTGAAAATTATCATGCTGTTTTAGCCCCTCATATGTGAAATCCTCATATGTGAAATCTTGTTTCTTAACAATTGAGGTTTCACCTAATATCATACAATGCTGTAACTCTTTTGTGTTTGACGCCTATAATTGTTGCAGAAGACCCGACAACGGAGATGGTGGTTCTTTTGATGATAGTTTCAACAATTTTTGTACCCAGAAAGCACTGTGGACTGCCTCGAGCTCTTTTCATTATGTATGATTTTTTGGCTACACTGCATCGTTCCACCCGGTGTGTATTGCTTATTTTAGTAATTAATTTCCCTTATAACTCTCAGCTTATCTTCTTCCATTTTTGAGACTATTTGGGACAATAGTGATGTAAATGAGGAGCAACAAGCTTTTGATGTCAAATTGACAATGCATTCCGAAATTTGTAGAGGAGTTGAAATCCAAATAGAATTCCAACCATTAAAAAAAGATTCCTCTAGAAAGAAAATGGAAGGATCAGATGGTAGGCAATGATGGGACCAAGGAAGCACATATGCAATAGCTTGAGGCTTAGCAATTAGATGGATTTTCATATAAAAAGAAAAGGAAAAAAAGCAAACACAATTACATGGACGAGCTAGGCTTCACATATTACACAAAACCTAAAAGGACCACTTACAAGAGACTGTGTAGGCAGGGCAAGATAAGGTAGAGTCAAGATCAGAGTCGGTGTGTCCACATGTACTGTGTGTGTTAGGCTTGTTTACTTTTCGTAGTTTCTTTTAGGCCAAGGCTTTCATTTCAAATTTCTCTTAAAACCTCATCACTTGATAGATATTATGTTCCGTGTTCAATCCGAGTTGCCTTAAGGTATAAGCTAATGAAACACATCAAGTTGCTAACATCATTAGGTCAAGGTGTTCATAATATGTCGACCACAAGACTTGCTTGGAGCCAAACTTTGATTTGACAATAGAATCGATCATGCAGGTAACAAAAGAAAGAAAACCAAATTGGCTATATTCTTTAGTGTTCTAAGATTTAGGTTTATATGTGGCAATGAGTTACCTAGCTCGAAACAAAGAAGTGGGAATTTGTGGATCGAACCCAAGACCTCTTTCAAAGCTTAAGCTGTTATGAATGTGCGAACAATGTATATCAAAATGGGATTTTGTAAATTGATTGTTAATATAAAATTATCTGACTCAACATTGCCATTTTCATTGGTATTGGTTAGGATGAAAGTTGTGGCTCGCATACTTAATTAGGAGAAAAACTTACCTATATCGGGAAATTTGAAATTTGTAGAACGTCCGTCCCTTTGAATGTTAATTTGTGGCTACAAAGATGATTGCTGCTTGCCCTTAATATTTGCCTAATCACAGCATATTTTCTTTGACTAGACATATATATTAGTCAACTTAAGAACTCGTGTTACACCATTCAACAAACAGACAAATTCAAATACTTAATTTTTATATAATTATTTGAAGCTTTAATTAATATTGTTGAAGTGCAGCGTTTCCTATCACTCATTTGATCACTTTGTCTGAGCCTCCCAAGTGTCGTGCATTGACAAAGATGTCATTGGTTGCCACCTCTGCATATAGACTATGGACATATTGCCTACCTCTTTGGTCTCTTGGAAAAAAGCATTTTATAAAACACGTACCACATATCTTCTTAGTTCTTGCCGACACATTGCAAAAGCCGATGGATCACGCTTTGATCTCACTATCACAAATTTTGTCACTATTTCCATGAAAATGAAAGCCTTGCTAGTTATGATAATGCATGTTTTTTCTGGCAAAAAGATAATCTAGAATATTTATATCTCTAAATTATATATTTAAAAAAGACGTTATTTGATGCAGACACGAGTTTGGTTACAGTAAATGTGCTTCCCACTCTGCACCCGAGTTCGAATTCCCCTCTAATTTATAACATTATCATAACGTAAATTTGCAACAATTCACTAGTGCCTTGTCAAGCTTCAATTTTGGGGAAGATAACGATAATACGAGAAGGATATGTATATGGCATGCCAATTTTGAGTGAAGAGCTGAGCGAAGCTTCCAGTCAACGTTTGAGGTTCTGGAGTCTCAAGACATCCACAGCCAGTCACGTGGCCAATAAGAAAAGTCCCCCTGGCTATAGAATAGAGAAGTCCCTGGGTCTATTTCGCTCGTCGTCGGAGGTGTCTTGCAATTAAACCCACCCATCTGATTGGAATTGAAAGATATTGTGTGTAATTGCATTCATTGCCCCAAAGTCTTTTCTCCATCTGCCTCCTCTGTCAAACTTGAACACATAAATGCAAATATATAAAGATTTGTTTTATTTTTATTACCCAAAGTTAGGAAGGGGTTGGAGGTTTTCTCATACGCATACTCGAACTTGAGACAACTGATTTGCAAGTTAAGATCCGTTTTCACTAGACCTCGTTAACTTGGAAATTTGTTTCTTTCACATATGCAAATTACAATGAAGAAATTATATTAATTACGTGCATTGCGTGAGGAGCATATACCTAATAATAATTACATTATCAACAAAAAAAAACTTAATTTGTCCAAATTGTTACAGTATCAAAAATAAATTTATTAGGGCCATAGATACAATTTGGATAAACAATAACTAATGGGATAAGAGAATATCCCATGTTGGCTAAGTTGGCTACAATAGATGTGCTCCCCACTCTGCATCCGGTTTCGAATCCCCATTAGTTTACTTTAAATTAAAGTAGAATATCGTTTGTGTAAAGTAATAATAATAATAAGATACTAAAAATAGTAAAACTCTTTTTAATTCCCAAATTTACAATTTTAATTCACACAATTTAACCCTCCCAATAGCGAGAAGACTATATAATGCACATTCATTTCAACCTTTACTAGGTTAACGGGCCGATGGCCCACTCCAACAACACCGATACTTACCCCACTTTACCACTTGCACAATCCTCAAGTGTGGGGTTTTATCACAAAAGGCCTCGGTATTAGTTAGAGATGAGTATTTCTATTTAAACTACTTTCTCTTTGGCCCTCTAGCCAATATGAGACAACAATGAGTTCCAACAATTTTCACCCCAACCCTTTATTTTATCACCACCAAGAGTTACCACCCCATGAAAAAAATATAAAACTAGCTATTTTTAACTGGTCATGTGAATTCTACCGTGGCCATTGAAGTATATAGGAGGAGGACACGTCAAGAAGACGCGACAAGTCATGCACTGCCAGTTAGATTCAGGAAAACGTCAAGAGCCCAAAAAGAGTTCACACTACAATCCACATTATACTAATTAATCACACGATGTGACAATTTACGTAATAATGGACTATGAAAATTGGTGCAGTAAACTTAAGCCAAATTATAATTTTGCTCCCATTATAGTTTGTAAAATTGGACTTCTTGAAAGCGTCGAATCGTGACAATTGAAATTATAGGAATCAAAGTGAAACTGCACCAAAACTACTGGGACCAAAATTATAACTTGACTATGTAGACAGCAAAAATGAGATCCATTTTCCATCTTCACCAATATTTATGCATGTGATGCGAAAAATCTATTGAACTACTCAAAAGACCCAAAGCTTGCGGAAATTTGTGATTATAGACCCAAAGTTTGAATGACTTTAGACAAGTAAACTGCCAAAATACTTTTCAGTTTTAATTCTACCCACTTACTCTAATTTAAAGTCGAGTGCTAGTATCCGTGTAATCTATATGTGTGAGTTTAGTATGTTATTACCCCTTTCAATAGGAATGCAAATTGTACCAAATAATCTTTTCTCCCAATTCTCCTACAATTTACTGTATTTTTTTCCTACAATTTGTACCAAACGATCTTTTTTCCACTTCTAACTAATAATGTGGCGCACGATCCCCCTCCTCCTGTCCTTTTCAAACTTAAATCACCAAGCAAATCAATAAAGGAGTGACTGATAGAAATATATTTTTAAAAGATAATGTGGATAATAAAATTATCAAAATTTCATAAATAAATAACTAATTAATCACACGATGTGACAATTTACGTAATAATGGACTATGAAAATTGGTGCAGTAAACTTAAGCCAAATTATAATTTTGCTCCCATTATAGTTTGTAAAATTGGACTTCTTGAAAGCGTCGAATCGTGACAATTGAAATTATAGGAATCAAAGTGAAACTGCACCAAAACTACTGGGACCAAAATTATAACTTGACTATGTAGACAGCAAAAATGAGATCCATTTTCCATCTTCACCAATATTTATGCATGTGATGCGAAAAATCTATTGAACTACTCAAAAGACCCAAAGCTTGCGGAAATTTGTGATTATAGACCCAAAGTTTGAATGACTTTAGACAAGTAAACTGCCAAAATACTTTTCAGTTTTAATTCTACCCACTTACTCTAATTTAAAGTCGAGTGCTAGTATCCGTGTAATCTATATGTGTGAGTTTAGTATGTTATTACCCCTTTCAATAGGAATGCAAATTGTACCAAATAATCTTTTCTCCCAATTCTCCTACAATTTACTGTATTTTTTTCCTACAATTTGTACCAAACGATCTTTTTTCCACTTCTAACTAATAATGTGGCGCACGATCCCCCTCCTCCTGTCCTTTTCAAACTTAAATCACCAAGCAAATCAATCAAGGAGTGACTGATATAAATATATTTTTAAAAGATAATGTGGATAATAAAATTATCAAAATTTCTTAAATAAATGAAAACAAAATTATATCTCAGATAATAATTTATTATTACGATTTTATTGAACTAACAAATAAAAATAAACCCGAAACAAATTCCTCTCAAGTTCTAGGGTATGTAATAAAATCTAAAATAAGATAATAATAAAAACCTAAGAAATCCTAATAAAATCATTATAAAAAAATTAAAAAAAACACCCCACAATTTATTCCATTATTATTTCAAACAGCACCACCCTGCACAAAGCTGCTCATCAGGGCCACACTGATAAAGACAACGACGGAAGACACCAACACGCTCGAAGGAGCCGTTACACTATGCGACGCTCCACTCCCCGCCGGTCTCGGAGCCGTCGAGTCCGCTGTACCGGGTGGCGGTGAAACGGTTCCCGGCGTTGTGGGGCCCTCGGAACCTGCGGACGGGGCCGGTGTGGACCCCTCAGGGGGCGGTGAGGGCGGGGAAAGAGATGGAGAAAGAGTCGGGGATGAAGACGGAACTGGCGCTAGCGCTGGAGATGATGTTGATGGGGATGGTGAGGTGGCAGGAGGGTAGCCCACTGGTGATGGGGAGGTGGCAGGAGGGTAGCCCACCGGTGATGGTGAGGTGACAGGAGGGTAGCCCACTGGTGCTGGTGAGGTGGCAGGAGGGTAGGCCACTGGTGTGCTGGTGGGGTGGCAGGAGGGTAGCCCACTGGTGATGGTGAGGTGGCAGGAGGGTTAGCCACTGGTGCTAGTGATGGTGAGGCCCCAGGAGGGTGATGAGGGTACTGAGGAGATGGGGAGGTAGGGCTGGTGCTAGGGGGAGTTGTGGGCGCAACAGGAGGAGGGTTTGGTTTATTGTGATGCCTAATAGCCAAGACAACTAGGAACAGTTTCTGGCCCTTGTCACAATTACCATTCTGCCCACTAATGAAGTAGAATGGCCCAGACCTATCCAAAGTGAACTCTGAGTCACCACCATCTAGCTTCTGAATTGGGTTCTTGGTGTTGCACTTGAAGAAGTCATCCTTGTTCACAACAAGCACTGAGTCTGTTCCTTTCTTGTACTTGAAATCTGTATGTGTCACAAACAATTAGAAATTTCCAAGAAATTACCAAACTAGTCCAAAAAATTAAGCAGAAATATAGGATCTCTAATTTATGTTTTAAATTTTTTGTCCTACTATGTCTTCGTTTTAGACACAAGCTCGATATCAGGAAAAAGCGAGAAATTTGTGCATCTAACACAAAGTGTCATTTTCTGTTCTGATATGGTGCTTATGTTATGTCCGAAACAACGTTGTTTTCAGTTTGAGAGTTTAAATGTAATTTTAGACTAAGCACAATACGAATAAAAAGACATCTAAAGAGGATCAGACTCAGAAAATGATCGAAAACAAAGAACCTATAAAATATTAGAGAGAGAGAGAGAGAGAGAGATTTGAGCATCTTACATAGAGTGTCATTGACCTGGAACCTGTTCCTCCCAGACCATTGGATGTAGTTCTCAGAGGGGTTCAAGACCCATCCATCTCCCCCACCAACATAGAATCTGTATCCTTGTGTGGAAGAGAAACACAACCCAAAGCAAACCAGCAACACAAGCCAAGCAAATCTCCCAAACTCCATGAGAGATAAATGAAAACAAACAAATCAGAAAACAAGATGATCAGCCTCACTGTTTCTGTTGCCCTATATATATATATATGTATATGTATATATATATAAGCAGTGAAAATGAAAGGTATAGAGATTTAGATGCACAAGCACCAAAGAGAGAAGAAGATCTCCGCAGAGAAAGAAAGTTGGGAAGGGAAAGAGAGAAGATGGAAAGTAAAGCTGGGAAGGGGCCTGAGTTATAAAGACTTGTCCATAAGGCCTTGTTTTTCTGACCGTTGCAGGAGCCTTTATGCGTGGCAAATATGATATAGCTTCGTACGTTTCATGTATTGGCTGTCGTTGATTTTCTGCCATATTGACGGTTCACACGTGGCGTCATCCTACCGACCTAACGGTTTTCTTGGGAATTTATTGTGGTGTGGCATGTGTGGGTTGCCAAGGTTCAAAGGTGATGTGGATTAGAAATTTTGCTTTCCTTATTTGTCATGGTTCTTGTGGTGGTGGCATAGATAAACTCATCAACTCCTAAATTAAAGATTTTATTTGAATAAGAAAAACACCAAAAACACACACACACACACAAAGACTCCTTTTCTTTTTTGACACTTCCTATAAAACTTTGTAAAGAAACTTTTTTTCTTCATTTTTTATGAACTGTAGAGAAACATATTTACTTACAAGAAAATCTAACATGTTATGTTGCGAGATTGTAGCCTAATTAAGTAGATTTTTAATTGGATAATCCCTTAAATTAGAAATCTAACAACACAATAAGATAAGATTAGCAAGTAGATTTTTAATTAAATAGTGCCCTAAATTGACAATCCAACAACGCAATAGATAAGATTGGCAGGCAATAAAACTCCGTTATTTTGTCAATGTTTATATAAAGGATGCGTATACAAATACTTATGTATGGAAACAATATATTTTGCCAATTCTTTCCTTAATTTGCATTGCGGATGGAGGTTGATAATCCCAATTTTTTTTTTTAAAAGACATTTTCTATGGAAAAGGACGATAATATACTAAACTCACAAACTACACGAATGCTAGTACTTGAACCCAAAATCTTTCCCGAAGAGAGCAATTGCTCCAAACCACCACACTAGTGAGTCATTTGCTGATAATTCTAATTATATGTTGTCTACTTGTAATGTAAATTGGGAATTGTTATTATCACTTTTAAAAAAGAGACATCTTGCACTTCTCCATTTGCAATTTCTATCTTATATTTATGTAAAGAATAAGTGCATGATGACTTTTCTAAAGTGTCAATAACAATAACTACTCTCTTTAAACTTTCCTTTGAAAATAGAGTGCCCCCTCTCAATCTTCTTTGAGGCTATTGTCTTATTGCTACCCTTTTCTTTCTTTGTAATTTTCTTTTTTCCCTTTCTCACTATCATTGCTACCCTTTCAACATCTCTTATTGTCGTACTTCAACTCTAGATTTTGCACCGTTCAAAATTTCTTAACAAGTATTTTTAATAAAGTATATTTCTTTTGATTTTTTGCTAGGATCGATAATGAGTAGATAGATAATATAAAATGTAAAATGATGTGTTGTACTAAACAATGGTTTTTGTTTAATTTAGCATCCCCTAACCTTAAAACGGTGTACAACACAAAGTAAATGACCGAAACAAGAAAGGTGGTTAAAGGGTTGGTTTGTTCCAGCTCAACCACTAAAACCTGGGCCTTGGAGCACTCTGTGTTCGATGGGGCCTCTATGCCATCATTTTTTTTCCTTTTTAAGAAAGAGTAACGCCACTGTCACCCAATAAACTACTCATGCCACTCACATACCTTTCAAATTGTTTTATTTACAATTTTGTTACTCTCTAAAATTACCTAAAGTTATACGTTAGTATTTCGAAAATAGAGAACTTGCTAAGCGATCAGCTTCCATGGCAGCACCTTCAGATGGGTGGCAAAAGAAATTGTACCCAGACTTTGTGGTCAACATTAATAATAATTACGAGAAATGTCTCCGATTACGGTTCCGTTCAATGAAGTAAGAACAAATCAATACAAAGTCTGTTTTGCCTTTTCCTCCATTGCTCAAAGGCAAATCTACAAAGAAATGCTTGCAAATACAAATATTAGAGACACCTGATACATATAATATGGGCAAGGTGCCAGGGGCCTCCACCATATGAGAAAAAAAATTGTAGTAAACGACATCAAGAACAACAAAACGTAAAAGTATAAATAGAAAAAAGAAAAACAAAATTCAGAGATGACGGTAGATAATGAATATTACAAATTCCTTTTTTAGCTGGCCAAATGTCTAGGAGAGCTTTTGAACATACTGTGCCACATGAAAGCTCTTGAAAGCACCATCTCCAGCTCTTGGTGAGTCCAGTTATTAGTAGGAAGGTGTTGAAGAAACATAACCAACTCTTGGAAATCAAGCTTCAGAAGCTCATCCGACCACTGCATATCGAATCATAGTGGATTTCAAGTTATTGGCATCCATTCTGTTACGAATGAAAAATCTAGAGCAGTTTAAGCTGACCATGATGGCTTTACAGCAAGAACATAAAGGAATATATAGCCAAATAACACAGAAAATAGCCTTTCAGATTATTGGCTGTCAAATTGACTCGAGCAAAAGAAAAGTAACAAAGGAACAAAAGTCATTCTATATGAATCTACATTTTATTCAAAAAGGAAAAGTGTTGTAGTTTTATTCAAGGGTAAAATTTGGAGTTTGAGAGAATAAAAACAAAGTAAAACAATTAGTGGACCAATAAGGGATCTCAATAGAACCACCACCCAAAAGTAGTTACCACCCCATAAGGTATACAAGTACAGAAAAACCCTGGAGAAACGGTAAACATGGGCCAGGAAATATAGCAGAAAAGCTAATGATATATACAAGGCTACCTTGTGCATAGTGATACTTGATTGATGAGCAAGAATGCATTTATGTCCACCATTTCTGTTAAATGGAAAGTAATCTACAGTGCATTTCAGTGATGATCGTGTTGCATGCCATGAATGCAATTCAAAAAGGTCTTTAAAACCTTAAATAAAGAGTCAAAATTATCATAAATGATAGAGATTTTTTTCCATAACCAAAGCTGTCAAAAAGGCTAGCCTGTCGACCCCCCCATAATTTACCAATTGGACAGAACTTGTTAATGGACAAATAAATAAAAGTACACGCTTCCTTATCACATGCTCACAGCTAATGCATCCAAATATGTAACGAAACCAAGGAAACTATATGTTTGCAGTGGTAACATTTTCTATCTTACCGTTAAAAGAAAACTGGCAAATATATACACAAGGAAATCTGGCAATGCATCTCCTTCGGCAAGATAGGTATCCCACAGACGAGAAATGAGATGGAAAGGAATCTAAGCAGCAAAAAGAAAGAATTTCCATTAGCTTTGCAGTAAATGATAAAAGCACAGGTCCAGGCCAAATCTGTTTAGAATTATTCTACCACAATTCAAGTAAACCTCAAGATTACAGTTGGTCAACTTTATGCACTGTGCACAAATATATTTTACAAAGAGGAAACTCCAGCAAGTACAGAGAAGAGATCTGTAGAAGCAAACCTCGCGTATTAAAAGACAGTTGAACCACCGAAAAGCAAATTGAAGAAATTCCAGCCCTTGCTCCTCCACGTGTCTGGATACAGGTTCTAGTGCAGTAGAGGAAAAAATAATGAGTATGTACATCAAAGATGATAGCGGAACTTTGATGTGCTTCATGCATCCTAAAGCATGAGGTATTGCCAGTTTCTGAAGATATTAAATGGAAGTCTGAGGAGTATAAGAGCAAAAGTTGGTCTTTCCTTCTACAAAACCAACTCCCCCAAAATTGCTCTCGCCAGAATTCACTTATAACAAACTCTCACTATAATATGATGCGCAACAACATTTTATTGCATCACGAGATTCATAAAAACTGAAAATGCCCCAGTGCGCCTAATATAAAGAACAACCTATTTGATTTTTCATTATAATTTTTGAAGCATTTTCTTTTTGGGGGAAAATATATGAAGCATATTTCTTTTCTTTTATTATAGTGTTTCTGAATTAACACTACAAATATAAATCTCTTGGTGGCTGTGTACAAGTCCAAATATACATACAGAAAAGCAAAGAGATTTCCATAATGAAAATTACGCCAGAGCAAAAATAGACTTCCCTATTTATTTATTTTTTGAATAGAAACTTTATAAATTCAAAAGAGATAAACAAAGAAACAAGCAAGTGGATAAGGAATCCACAAGAGCAAAACAAAAGAAAACAGCAATCTCAAGACCAAAACAAACAAAGGAAAGGACAAGAACAAACAAGGAGGCCACCCAGGAAAAGAGAAAAGAGCAACACATCACTTCACAACTGCTAACAAATCTCGCATAATAGAAGAGACCGCCAAATCCTTAAAAACAGGAGTAACCGAAGCCCATAACGCTGCCCAAAACTTCACTCTATCCCACATCTCAGCCACCCCCACACATAATAGAAGAGACAGCCAAAAATAGACTTCCCTATTCAAAATAGGTATAGCAAAATTAACCAAAATGAAGCTTATAAGTACATAAACAAGCGTAGAAGCATCGGTTGATTCACTTGATCCAGTAAAAAGCGTGCAAGAAGCAGAAAATAAAAGCAAGAAAATGGGAGTTACCATCAATCCGCCTGACCACTTCCTTTAGCTTAAACACAAGCCTCTGGATTCCCGGCTGAGCAAAAGTGTAATGGTCTTGCATACCTTCTAGTAAATTTGATAGGCACCAATAGCAATCAGCCTCTATATTAGATATTTTATCAGGAGACAAATCGGAGATCGACCAATTATCCACACTCCCATCTAAGTATTCGGACAGGAAAACAACTAGAAAGGGAGTAACAAGATCATTTATTCCCTGAACATATCCACTTGCAGGATGTCGAATGGCCCTGAAATACATGAGAAGAAGTAACTTGAAAAGACATAACTAATAATCATAAAAATTAAATAATTAAAGAAAAAGAAAAAATCATAAAATGATGGCATCTTGAAACCATACTCCACATCTAGACCAGTTTTTGTTGTTGTTTTTTGTTGTTTTTTGAAGCTAAACTGTTGGACTCCAAAAACTGCTCAGAAAATAAAATAGAAACAATTCACGCTATCAAGGTACCAGGAATTGTTATCTGCATCTTATAAGCTAAATTTCTCAATTAGAGGAAGAAGAGGGAAGAAAAAGGAAGCTTCACATAACTGAGGCAAGTTATGCGTATAGAAGAGCTTTTGTCACTACTCACTATTTCTCCCTGCTTGGTCCACATCTACATAGAGACCTACCATGAAAACCCCACGAAATAAACCTAGGCCCTTTAAACATCCTGATTAAAATGACTAAATAGCAGCGGAAATGTAGCAAACATGTATAGTTAAGTGACAATTACAATATGAGAATCATGCCCCATGCCAGCCCTCTAAATGCACAATGTCAAGAACATTAAACCTACTGAAAGATAGTGTAGAGAACATGTACATATTAACTTAAACAACTCACTATCAACTTGACATACTATCTCAGACAGTTCAGAGCTAGACCTACTTTGGGAAAACCAATAGGGCAAAGACAGAAATTCTCATTCATGTCTGACTAGTAATAGCGAACCTCTAAATCTCTAAACAGGACAAAATGTAGAAAAAAAATAAAAATCGTATCACTATTCCATGCTGTCATTTCAAGATAATCAACATGTGTAATGAACCAAAGCCCCCTAGATGAACCCTATAACAAAGATAAATGGACTGGAATTCCTAGATTAATAAATCATACACCTTTAAATCAGTTGCAGATTTTACACTTTTGTTATTAGGAATCAGCAGACCCAATAGATGCAACTTAGCACAATCAGTAACACTTCATGCAGTCATTTCTCTTTTTCTTGTATGAACACATTCGATGTTACAAAAAATCCAGCAATGACCAAGGATATATGGGGCAAATGTAGTATTAACCATGTGTAAAGGATGCGCTCCAAGGATTTTTGGACTTGCTCTTGCTGAAAGAAAGATACATCTGGCACAGTTCTTGGGCAATCAACAGCAATCTAACAAGGACAACAAAGGTAATTGTAAAAACCAGGAGCCACATATTAGAACTAAGAAAGATGGGAGCTTTTTTAACATTTAAAACACCTGGCGAAGCATATTTATCTCATCTTCTGAACGCTCAGTATCCGGAATGTCATAGTACTGAGAAGCACAGTCAAGATACTCAAGGCGTTTCCTTCTTAGAACTCCCTCCCTTCTATCTGAATTAGATGGTGCATATCCCTGTTGTCAGTTCATATTTTAAATTCAAACAAGCCACAATGTTTACTAGATAAAGGCAATCTAGGTTAACAAAAAGGCAAATAAAGTGAACCCCTTTTCTAAGACATAATGCTATCTTCAAATACATGCTTCAGAACTTCCGCTCCAATTACAGAAAAAAAAAATTCGCAAGAAAAAAAAAAGTTAAAACAAAAAGTGATGTAACGAAGTAACACATGCATAAATTCAAGTTCAAAGCATGGGCTGAGCATTGGACACCACTGAATGAACTAGACACCTATAACCCAACTGCATGCATCAAACGTTTTAAACTTGCAATGAAAAGAAATATAGAATACAAAAGGAAAAGACAAGGTAAATGAAGAAAGTGGGCCACAAGGGGGACCTTGCAGCTTCTATGTCATTATTATAGAAGCAGCGAGCTTACCAAAAGAAGCCTCCATACATCTGGCCGCATATATGGTGGTACCCCACTCCAAGCCAACTCATGCAACTTCTCTACATAAACAATTAAAGACTAAATTTGAAAAAGAAGGAAACAAAAATATATATCCACAGCTCAATTAGTGCTAAAAGGAAATTTGTAGAGGTAACAAATTAATCAAAATAGTGGCCTAAGCTGCCAGAATGAAATGCTTTGGCATACCAGTAACAATAACAAGTGTGAAATTTAGATTTAACATCATAAGGATGCCCACTAATCATGGTGATAGGACAGTACAACATTTTGAAGCTAAAACGCAACAAACAATATGCCAGGGTATCATTTCATTCTCTCCTTATCTCCATGTAGTACTGGGGACTGGGGGCGGATTAGGTTTTGGGAGGTCCGGTGCATAGCAGGGAGTCTCCTGTGTGCAAAATTTCCGTGTCTTTATAGACTACCCAACTCTCATAATGTATCAATTGCCAATAAGTCTTATGTCTCCTTCTTTCCATAAAGCTGGAGTTTCAATCTCTATAGAAATTTGCAGCTTTGTTCTTGACTCTCTTTGACTGAGAATTTTTCATTAGATTTCATTAGCAGTTTTAACACCAGATAGAATTGGACTCTTCAGTCTTTGGGCATTTTAGGTGTTATTTTACATAGGTTGATTGATGAGTCATCTCTCCCCCTTTTCAACCCTTATCATATGATTTGGAGGGGCAAAAGTACTGTGTAAAAATATTCTTTAGATTATTGCTCGTGGTAGAGTAAATACTTGTGGTTCAAAAGAGGCCTAAAGTTAGTCTATCTCCTCATGGGTGTATTATGTGCAAAGGGGAGGCTGAAAATATTGACCCTTTTTTTCTCCATTGCTCTGCTTCTTTAAAGCTTTGGCACAAAATGTTCATGGAAGCTTGGCCATGCATTTTTATGGTTTCTGAGAAGCACTATCCTTTTGGAGGGGAAAAACAAGAACTCATGTGGAGTTGTAGCATATGGCTATAAGGTTTGTATGGATGGAATGAAATAAGAGGATATTAACAGATTCTAACAAATCATCCAAGCACCATCAGAACATACTGAGAAAAAAAAAACATTTTACCTTTATATAACCTTCATGAATAGAGTGGTGGGAGAGAAGAAAAGCAGGGGAAAGGGGGGAAGTTTAAAGAGAGAGTCCTTATACCTAATATGACTGTTGTCCCTGAAAGGACCTTTGTGAACTTCATAACTCTTGTAGAATCCGTAGCTCTAGCTCCCATGATGGATTTTTGAGCTCCCTTGGAAAGATTCTCAACATTCGAAGTTGATGATTTTAACTTATTTGAATTTGCATTATTGTTGGGATTGCTTAGGCTTTCAACTTCTTCCTATTTTAGAAGTAAAAGTATCAGTAGAATTTTCAGCCAATCAACTATGGCAAATGATATGTTCTTTTCAAATTTATTAGACAAAAAGGATATCAAAATAAACCTCCAACGCCTTGGCTATGTGATCACTTGTATCAGCATCATTGAATGAGAAGCTCCTTCCATAATTGAGAGAGGGTTCTTGTAATTTTGAATGATCTAGCACGTTTGATCTCCTGGTTAGTAATACTTTACCAGGCATACTACGACCTTTGAGCAACCTAGATATCAGAAAAATATAATCAAAACATAAATAATAAGATATTGAACTAATATTACAAACAATACGTTTGATTTATTTAGAACAACATTTAGCTTTCATCACAAATTGCTAGGATTCCAGACACTAGAGATATCAGATAGAAAATTATATAATGAAACGACGGAAAGGAGTCGTGTTTTAAGAACTTAGAAGGCTTAGAAAACCTAATGCAATGTTCTTATCAATTTGATAAGCACAACAAGGGCATTTTAATACCAAATGCAATTATATCTACAATTTGCCAGATTGGGATAATATTAATGGCAATAATATACCAGAATTTTCACCACACTAACGATTATTACATATAATGAACCAAACTATTTTACACTAGGAACCATGGCAGCATCAGTTAAATCTAAGACACCTTAGCACATGCTTCCTAGTCAAGAAAATAAATCCAGTAAAAGTCAGAATGTAATCCACACCAATTTTCCGCTATGTGACATCAATTTGAGGTCAATCTTACAAAATCGGTGGCCGAGTAAACTAAGCAGAAGCAACAGATCAGAACTATGAATCACATATTCACTCTAAATTAAAATAGTCTGATTGCTTCTGTGTGGCCACATTTTCCCACCAACCAAAAAGAACAGAGCACGAATGAATTTATCCAATTTAAGAACAGAGATCTCCCAAATCACACTACTTTTCTCACTGCTTCTTATCTAATATATCGAAACCAAAAAATCCCATAATCCTTTTCTAAACCAACTCTTACAATTTGAGAAATAAAAAGCTATACTTTACGTGTTAGGACCAAGTCAAATCCTCAATGCAATGAATTGGAGCCATTAACGAGTGAGAAACGGCATTCTAATTAGTGACAGTTTAATAGTTGATTGGAAAGATAGAAACTTTTCCCGAATGGGTTTTCAAATCTGAGGAAAATCACAAGCAAATATCAATAAGAAATGAGAAATGAACAAAAATCATATATACGCAGGGAACTGGATTGGTACCCTTGAACATTTCTGAGGGTTTGGTTGAATCTTGAATCAAGGGTTGAGATAGGATTTTCTTTCTTTGAGTGATTTTCATCTCTATCGGAGCTTTGATTGCTCTTGCTGTTCATGGTTGCTCTACAAAATGACCATGTTGCTCTTTTTTGGTTTTTCGGTGCCTGTTGGTGCTTCTCTCTCTCTACAGTATACACATGTACAGAAGAAAGGTAGGAAAATAATAAATAAAAAAAGAAGAAAAAGTCCAACTTTTTTTTCTTCCTCATAAAGATATTATCTTTGAAATATCATCTATGCTATCTGATCTGATTCATCCCAGTGTCAATTTTTTTTTCCCTTCAATAGTCATCACTTTCATGGCGGGAAGGGTGGTAACTACTTGGGTGATGGTGCAGGTTAAACTCAACGAAGGTAATACTAACGAATCATATATTTTTTTTTACTATCATAGTTTATGCTAATCTTTAATTGATAATTAATTGCAACAATTGATATATAACAAGCTGAGCGCGGCAAACTATAGTTGTTTGTTTATTTTTTATTTGTATATAGAATAAATTTGGAATTTCATTAAGCATGAGAAAAGATATCCGAGTCAAATAAATTTTTTCATTTTTAACCAACTAATTTTTGATCCAGTGGTATATTCTTCCACTTGATTGTAATAGGTCTTAGTTCGACTTATATGGATAGCGATAATGATATATAAATTTGTGATGAGTTTGATACCTAGTTGTGACTAACCCTATATGGGGTGTAGGTTTGTTGTGGATGTATTGGTCCATAATAAAAGTATCTCTGTAAATATTCTATTGTTTGTATGAAAAGAAAAATATTTTTATTTCAAAAAATAATATTTACTTTTGTAAAAACTGGAGAATGATGATTCGAATAATTAACATTTGGGATATAGGAATAACTTTTGAATTTTGGATCAATCAACGGCTACTAACATGATACAGAAATGCAATCAAGCAATTTCCTTTGAAAAAAAAATATTTGTCTGTAAACTCTGTACCATGGGAGTGCTTACAGATGTGAAGGAATTTTTTTTTCTATATAAAATAGAAAATTGACATTTCTTTTGTGTTAGAAAAAAAAAAAACAGATGTTTCCTTTTTTTTTAAAAGCTGACATTTTCTTTTAAAAAAAATAACTGATGCTAAAAAAGAAGTAATAAGATGGTAAGAAAGTTGTAAAAAAAATTTGGATAAATTGAATGCATTTAATAAGGATAGACTTGGAAAGCAAAAATTAGTTTGTATATGCATTAATGACATTGTTTTAAGCGTAAGGAAAATGACACGTGTCATGAGAAAAGGGGAGAAGGTCCACAGGAGTAGGTTAGAGAGAAGATTGCTAGCATTCTCCTTTTGACATATCTCTTCCAGCCTTCAAATCCATGTAAAATTTGACCATTCAATTAGAGCAACTTTAACCTTCAATTTTTGCCATTTCATGTCAATGTGGCAATTGGACATATCGGTTGGAGATGCTCTTAGACGCTTGTTGAAAGAGAACAGAAAAAACAGAAGATTATCTAAAGATATCGTTCTGTGATTATTATTAATGAATCAGTTGTATTGGGAAGGAAAGAGGTTGGTGAAGGCCATCAGCTGCTGAACCATAAACCTAAGCAAAAGATACAATGCCAAAAATCTGAGAAAAAGGTCTATGATTAACAATGGTAGAAATGCAGATGGAGCAGAACACACAAAATTTGCAACTACTACAAATATTCTTGTAAGTAACATCTAACTCAATAACAAAAGACTTCATCATCAGGGAAGGATCTTGCGTCTGCGGCGGGGTGTTTCTCGCTTCACATACATTTTCTCCATTTCATTCAGTGGTCGGCTGGAACCATCTGGCTGGCTTACAAACTTCCAGCCACCACCACCTCCACGCTTTCCTCTGGGTCCCAGTTTCTCCACTGTAAAGTTCCACCCATCCGAAGTACGGCGACGACTATGCTTGTGGCAGAAAACCTCCCCTTTCATCTACAAACAAATGAAACCATCAGTTAAAGGGCCAACGAAAGAGTGAACAGAAAATATGGAAGGTATTCATTACAAAAACTGCAGAGTCAATCTGCAGCTCAGTGGGCAGAACGTAGGCAGAGAAAAAAAAGCCTCGAATCACTCTATGCAAAACCTTGGTTATCAACACCAGTCTTTAATGGCAAAGAAGTGGAGCAAAGACAAGCAGCAAAGCCTCTTTCATTTAGCGAGTCAATAGAACCTGGTGTCCAAAAATTCCCCTGCTCCTTCACCTTACCACTGGCCATTCTTTTCTGTTTGGCAAAATACCACCCTGTTGCCCCATCTATCATCCCGTACTCACTTGTTAACCAATATCCCACTAAATTCATCTCCTAAGAACCAGAAAGTGGAATCATAGACAAATCCACAGCACAAACAGTCAAAAGCTGCAAACACCCAATCGCACATGGCATTTAAACTTCAATCACCTTATCTGTCAACCCACTTCACCGGTTAAGACTCAACCAATATCCCGCTAAATTCAACTCCAATAACCAGAAAGTGGAACCACAGGCAAACCCACACGGTAAACAATCAAAAGCTGTAAACACCCAACTGGACATGGCACTTAACTTCAGTTACCTAATTGTCAACCAACATCACCAGTTAAGACTCACCTAATCCGTCACTTAAGACTCGCCAAATATAGCAGTAATACTTTGTAATACAGAACTAGCTAATTTTTTTATTATTATTTCCAATGTTGGACTCTCTCTCTTTCTCATGGAAATGTGAGGCTTATGGAACTTACTTTCTTTTTGTTGAAGTTCATCCTCTGGACAAATTCTTGATAAAGCATTTCATCTTCTTTCATGGAGATCTCATAGTGGACTTCGTCCAAATCTCTGGTGGTACCATCCCAACCCTCTGGCATAACCTTGAAGTCAGGTTTGTAAGGAAGGGAAGCGACATGGAATTCACGGTCATGAGAATTGAAAAATCTGAAAAGAGGAAAATATTCGGGCACTATGAGAAATACAAGGTGGCTATTAAATCAGCCATGCACCACTAGCCAATGCATAAAGCAGAAGTGAAATCACTAATAAAGATAATTGCAAGTACAATTAACACATCAAGAAACCTTTACTGTCAAAGAAGTAATGCTTCCAAATTGATATCTTACTCAGGACAGGTGTCAAGCAGGAGCTCAACAGAATCATCTAAAGGACGACCAAGCTTTTTTTCCTCTTCTTCCTCCAGCTCCTTGAGCCAAAGAATGGCATGCACTCTCTGCCTCATAATTCTATAATCCTTGGCCAGCCGCTCAACAGTGTAAACCTCAGGATTTTCCTTGTGCAACCGATACATCTCGGCCTTCTCTGAGTCCATGAGATAAGACCCCCTTGCACCCGGCTCACGCACTTGCTTCAAAAGCGCACTTACCTCTTTTAATCTCTCTCCCCACCCATCCACAAACCGCTTACTTTTCCGGTTCTCTGCCTCCAGTTCCTTTATTCTATCCTCAATCTCTTGCAGACCAGAGATGACTGAAGATTGAGGACCAGAGATGACTGAAGATTGAGATGTGTCGTCTCCACTTTTCCGTCTACCAACCACCTCCCCATCAAAATGCTCCTTGGTCAATCCAGTCGACCATGCGGATAAAGAATCCCAACCCAAATCATCTGATGCATTATTGCTAAATGTTCCCCCCTGGGGTTTTTCCCACTCATCTTTGCCATTATTTTCATCATCACCTCCAGATTTGAAAGAAAAAAATCGGGAGGTGATAAATTGAGAAGCTTCGATACCATTCTTCAATGAAAGCACATCATTGTTTCCCAAAGTGGGTTTACTTTTCTCTCTCAGAAGCTTTGCTGCGCTCGTGCTTGTGCCAAGTGAAGTTGAGGAAAGACGGGTTATAACACGGTGAAGATTCTGCATAGCCGCTGCAGTATTTTTGCCAAGGAAGTAATCTAGTGTGCCACACCACCCGTACAGAATATCCTAAAATCATAAATAAACCTCTTAAGCATCCATGATAGACCTAAAGCAATTCCTCAACTCAATTAAGTTCAATATACATACACAGTGACACACACACACACACACACACACACATCAAATTTGGAAACTTTACAAATTCAAAACCCCAAATCTTGATCTAATAGCAAAAGAGATACAAGAAAGAGAAGAACGTCTAAATAAACCCATTTGAGTGAGGGTAATTAGTCCCCAATTCTGCTAAAAGAACATCAAATGAATTCCCTTCATTTGAGTGAGGGTAATTAGTTGCTCACTTCACAACCAATAAACCCATTTGCCCATAGAACAAACAAAGCATTATAACAAGAAAAAGAAAAGATATATGCATCTGTATAGAGAAGCACAAGTACACACATAAACTTTGAGAACTTGACTATCTAAGTTCGGAACCCTGAATCTGGATGCGGTAAAATATAACAGCATTTGAATATCATCTCAGAAGCTGTTCTTATAAATTGATGGATTGGAAACAAATTCCTAACTTTGGGTAAAGAAATTAACTTGAGTCTTTCCATTTTGCCATTACCAAACAAAAGCACACACAAAAATTGAATTGCTGTTCATCGACACAGAACAAACATTTTCTAAGAAACCCAAACATGAAAACCGCAATAACATAACGAAATATGCATACCCCTTTGTGTATGCACATAAACTATTTTCTAATATAAAAAATTAGTAAAAATGTCGGAAGAGAAACAGAAAAAACCTGGAAGAGAGATATGTATAGAGCTGTTGCTGGAACTTGTAAGAATCAATTCATGGAAGCCAAACCCAAATCAAAATTACATCACTTCATGATCCATTGATCGAAATCAACGCATTTCTCAGTGAAGAAATGGAATTTTGATAATTTGAGAGAGAGAGAGAGAGAGTGAGAGATGCTGTAGAGATATATAAACCCCCCAAACCCTCGCAGGCTATGCATCACAAAACGCACCGTTTCGATGGTTTTGTCCATAAATACACCGATTTGATTGTCGGGCGACCCGGATAGGCCTTGCCACGTCCTGGGCCATGAACTGCACAGCTTGATGGGCCTAAAACCGGAGACCCGAGACCCGGGTCAAATCGGTAGAACCGTAGAAGTCAAAAAAGGCAAAAGGTAGAGACTGCTGTCGTCCACTACATCCAACCTCAAAAGCAGTTACTGAAAACACAGTCCGAGTGATCAGTTCACCATTTCAGCTCAGCTCAGATTTCGGGTATCCAAATTGACCCGATTCCATCGACCTGAAAACCATGCGGGCTTGATCGGGTTCAGGTTCGCGAACCTCGAAAACCGTTCAATTTCTTACTGAAAACTATGTTCAATGGCTTCAACATCTTCAGGTACTTTTCTGTTTCTTTTGGGTAATTTTTTTTTTAGTTATTTGCTTGTATATCTGTAATTATCTGCTGTTTGGTGGCTGAGAAAGTGTGGGAAAATACAGGGGAAAAGGTGCAACTTGTTATTGGTAGATAAAGTTTTCCTTTTCATTTCATTTTTCTGAGATTAAAACAAATGTGAAATTTCAGATTTGTTAATGGATTTGGTTCCTTTACTTTTCCTTCCTTTCTTGATTCCCAAAAGGGGGGTAAAAGATTAAATTTTCAATTGGTGTTGTGAGTTGTCATGAGTTCTTTTAGCTTCCGTTCTCTCTGGATTTTCAGTTTTCTAGCTTCCTTTTTTTTATTTATAATAATAATAATAATATATATATATATTTCGATTTTTGCGGTTTATCATTGGCTTCTTGTCAGAGAAATGAAAATGTATGGTGGTATGCTTGAGTTCTTTTGTTTCTGAAGCATGGAAGAACATGGTCACACTACTAGACACACCAACCATTATTAGGCCTATTAGCGAGTGCAAGTTTGTATCTATTTGGGTTTGTGATTATGAATTCTGTAACAGGTGGATTATGTATATATATTCTAAGAAAATTATTCATCTAAAAAAAACAAAATTATATTGGTAGTACATTTATGTCTTTTCATCTGCACTCAATATGAGTTAAGGACTTTTCCTTGTGTATTTGTTGATCTTGATGGTTTCATAGGTATTGCTACATTGGTGCGAGCAATTTTTGGGCCTATCACCAACTAAAGTACCATTTACTTACGTAAATCTCAATGGTACCCGGGGGCTTTGGGAGTTATGGACTGTTTTCAGACTGTTATTCATCATAAGGGTAAGTTTGTATTTATTATAGCTAGCTTGCATAGGATTTCTACAGTAGGAAGGAGCAAAAGATGGGTATTGTGAATTCATAGTACTTAATATGTGGTGATACATCAAGGTCCCGTTCCCTAGTGTAGTGCTGTTATGACTGCAGGATAGGTATCAATTAGGTATCCCTTAAGTTGATTCTTTTTGTACCTTTTTTCTTTAAACATATCTAAACTTGCAATATATGGGTTCTGTAGTTATATTCCTTGCCACAACTTCTGAAGACAGGCTTATATGTGGCTGCAGGTTATTTGTGCGGTCGGTTGTTGTTATTCTTTATCTGGTTATCCAGTTTCCAAGATGTCGTGGCAGTGCAGACAGTATTTAACGGAAGTCATGTTTCTTCAATGGCAGAGCTAGGCCTGGCTAATCCACCTACTACTGGGTTCTTTGATCCCATAGAAATATCACCAGCTGTTATTCCACATTACCCAAATCCTGCAGATGAACCTTTGGCACCAATGTACCCAACTTTTCCGACAAGATATGAGCCTGTTTTAACTGGGAAATGTCCTGTAAATTTCTCCACTATATCAAGTCTAATGGAAAAAACCGCATCTGATTGTTCTCAACCCCTAGCAGCACTTGTAGGAAATGTAATATGTTGCCCACAGTTTAGTAGTTTGATCCGTATCTTCCGGGGTCTCGATAGCTTCAAGCCTGATAAGTTGGTTTTGCAAAATTCAGTTGCGAATGATTGTTTTACAGATATCATCAGTATCTTAGCCAGCAGGGGTGCAAACAGTTCAATAGCTACACTTTGCTCCATAAATTCATCAAATCTTACGGGTGGGTCCTGTCCAGTGAAGGACATTAGTGCCTTTGATAAAACAGCAAATACAAGTGGATTACTGGAGGCCTGCACAACTGTTGATCCTCTTAAAGAGTGCTGCAGACCAATCTGCCAGCTAGCAATCATGGATGCTGCACGTCAAATCTCTGGAAAACAATTGATGATGAATGAGAACAAAAATTTAGTGGGTGGGCTTAACTACACTGATACTCTAAGCGATTGTAAAGGAGTGGTTTTTACATATCTTTCGAGGAAACTCTCGTCAGATGCTGCAAATACTGCATTTCGAATATTATCTGCCTGCAAAGTTAACAAAGGTACACTATTAAATTATGTACACGACCAATTTATTTTAGACTTTAGGAACTGCGGTTTGAGCATCTAATTTCATGTTAAGTTTTTTGTCTTGCCTATTGGTGGGAAATGAATAAATGAGGAATACAAAAGAGCAACGCATGCAGTAAGAAGGTTCCTCCATTTATTGAAATCTGAAAGTTTAAGAGCCAAGAAAGAAAAAGAAAAGACAATTTGTTTGAGTCGATGGTTGAAGCAAAAGGAAACTTAAAAAAAATCAGTATTTGGTACTTTCTTTTCTTTTATGAACCATACTATTAATTTCATGTCTAACCTTTCATGGGCCATGAAGGATTCCCATCTCTAGTATTACCATTATCGTTTAGTTCTTTATAGTATGAAGTGTTTGAGTTATGTTAATTTTCATAACTATCTTATAGGGTAACTTAATCATTGGTTCTTTTTCACTAATAATTATTTAACCTAATTTATATGTATACTTTTACAGTGGTTAATGTTCGGTCATGGAAAATATCTCAAGAGATAAATGTGCTGAATATCATGCCATACTTGTATGAAAATTCTAGAAGTTGGTTGTGTTTTGAACAACAGTTTCACAACCTTGATTCACTAATTACCAAATAATGTGCTCTAACGAATTAGTGCGGCATCGAATATATATATTTTTTCCGGTATTGTAATTGTGGTAAATATTCCAGCATTTGTATTATAGTTGTTAACTGTAACCCAGGAACTGGAAAGTGTTGAACACAAAAATCCACTTCAATTCCTGAGCAACAAGAAATTAAGATGCGCTGGCTTTGTGAACAGAAAAATGATAAACCTTTCTGTTTGTTTACCCACTTTTGCTCGAGTTTTTAAGTTTGAGATTTGGCTTGCTTAACTAGTACGTGAACTATTCACATTTTATTTGGTTTGTACAACTTGATGATTACATCTTTAAGCCTTGTATTTTTGGACTTGTCTTGTAGTGTACATCTCTTCTCATGAAAATGATTCTCACTTGTGCAGTTTGTCCTTTGGATTTTAAGCAGCCTTCAGAAGTAGTTCAAGCATGTCGCAATGTTGCAGCCCCTAGTCCTTCCTGCTGTAGCTCATTAAACACTTACATCTCTGGAATACAAAAGCAAATGTTGATTACAAATAAACAAGCTATAATCTGTGCTACAGTGTTTGGGTCCATGTTGAGGAAAGGTGGGGTAATGGAAAATGTTTATGAGCTTTGTGATGTTGACTTGAAAGACTTCAGCATTCAAGGTACTGATCCTGCTATGTCATTCAAATTTTCTGCCTCTTTTCCTTTACGATATCTGATCTATTATTTTTTTTTTCTGGATCCCTGTGGACACTGAAGCAGCATATGGTCAACAAGGTAGGATATATTCAATTTTTTTTCCTGTTTCCTTTATCTATTCATTATATTCATTCCCATGATTTGATATCCAATCTTGTGTAGCATTCTGTATAGCTTTATTCGTTCCAGTAGTTATTTTCCAAGAAATATAAGAATACCCGATGCTTGAAAGCATTGTGTGCTTCATGTGTGACTGAAAATGTATTCTGGGAAATTTTCTTTGGGATGCGTTGTGGATGCTTTTATAATAATGTTGGTTACAATGCTAATAGTGTGACTTACTTAAATGGGCGTCAATTAGCTCAGGTGGTTTAACGTATGCGCATCCTAAATGTACATATCCCGGGAGTTCTAGAGTGTGGGGTTGGATTTCATGTTCTCTTGTATGTACTTGACGGAAATGAAAGGAATTCCCTTGCGTGCGAAGTTGGTAATCATTATTCTTATTAAATTGATAATTTTGGTTTTGCTCAAATGCAGGGTGTCTACTTAAAAGCTTGCCTTCAGATGTGATTTTTGACAATATAACAGGCATCAGCTTTATATGTGATTTGAGTGACAACATTGCAGCACCATGGCCTTCGTCTTCCTCAATTTCATCGGTGTCCCTTTGTGCACCTGGTAACTGATTGGTCAAAGCATAACTGTTGCCATTTTTCTTCATAATATCTACTATATGACAGCTACTACTGAGATTATATTTATAGAATATTTGCCGTTTTATGTGAATTCCATGACCTCATGGCTACTACTATTGTTTTGCAGAGATGTCATTGCCTGCACTACCAACGGCGGAGACTTTTAAAAATCTTGGTGTGTACCACTGGATTCTCTAATTTATGGCTCTTGTTAGTTTTCTCCGTTTCATTGATTTTAATGTGTTTAACAAAGTCAAAAAACGAAATGGACAAACGTCATGACATTGGAAAATAAAAAAACAAAAGGTGCCCTGTTTTGTGAAGTTAATGCAATGAGGTATTTACAAAATCTGGGGTTCTTTCAAAGGAATAAATGTTAGCCAAACGAAGGTAAAATCAATTCGATTTTTGGAAGAAGCCTTTTGTTTTTGTGAAAATGGAATCAGTGCTAGTTGTTTGACATACTAGAATTCAGATTTATCATTTATCATTTAATGTAGAGACTACAGCATTGAGTTTCAAGAAAATAGTGTTGTTCAAGCTGGCATTAGTCCTGTGTTGTTTCTTCACAATCTTTTCTTTTCTAATGCATTAGCAGTTCCGGAATTCGCATTTCTTCTTTGCCCTTTCTTTAGTACTTTTTCCACCCTAGGTGAAATGTCTAACATTGTAAAGCAATGTTTTGATGCAGGCTGTCGTGGTGGTGAGCTAGAATTTATGTTTCCCGTTTTTTCATTGTTTGTTTTGTGCACTTTGTTGTACTGAGGGTTGGGCCGGTTTGAATTAGGGGCTTTTTGAAATTGATGTTGTGTGTGGACTGTCCTGTATATTTTGAGTAGCCACAATGTATAGCAGTTCTCATTTTCTCTCTCTCTTCAAACGTGCACATGCACCATGCATGCATGCGAAGCATGTCAATGGAGCTCCTTCTCATTGTACCGAAATAGAGATCTGATTTATGGACTAAGTCTAAGCAAAACCTTAACAAAGATAGATACTGTTTTTCTTATTTGTTGGAACAGAAAAGATTGTTAATCAGGTATCAGATCGTGTAATATCGGATCGAGGACCCCAATTCTTGAGCAATACGTTGAGCAAAATTATGCTGGTTTGACAAGTGATGCCACAAATTAGTCCAATCCACAACCCCTGAAACCATAATATAATTAAGTTAAGAACAAACATCAAATAATGAAACACCAACTAAAGGAAACAGAACAAATCAACTAGCTTGGTATATAAATAACAAATGTCTCAATATAGCATGTAGCTTGGTCTTGAACCCAAGAAGGCCGGAAATAGCCACGCCAACCAGATATGTGGCCAGATTAACATGGCAGGCCAACTTTTGCTAACCCCAAAAATAATTTCTCATGCATGCTCAAGAAAAAGAAAACAGGAAAAATGTAACCAGCGTTTAATGGAAAATGTCGATTTTTGTTCTTTTTTACCTAAAACAACACCTTGTAGAGGTTCAACGATCACCGAAACCGCAAAGAAAGGTGTCATGGATGCAAATTCTTTTACTATTTCTGGGTTGCCACTGAATAAACCAGCCCAGAAATTGTGGCCAATTGCCAGTGCCAGACCAAGAACGAAAGCAACAAGGCCAGAGAGCTTAAGGGCCACAGTCATCATGGCCCTCTTGGCTTTCTCTGGATTGCCTGCTCCCAGTTCGTTTGAAACTCTCGCGCTACCACAATGTTATATTTATGTAAACAAATGTAATTATTTTTAACATATAATTGATTGACAATAGTGATATTAGTTAGGGATCCACAGAGGATCCTCTTTGTATTTGTTGAAAATACTAATGCTCATTTGTGATGAAAGGATCTAAACAATTCTAGACAAAATCAAGATCTAAAAGATGGAGGAATGTCAGTTTGGAGTTGAAAACAAAATCATGAGTATTGACTTGCCCAACCTAAGGGGGTGTGGCCTAGCCAAGAGAACTCCTTACCTAAGCTACTAAGGGAGCCAAGAGCTAACCCATCAACCAAGGGTTGATGGGTGGCCAATAGCCTACGAGTCATAAATTTCGAACATAGGTAGCCAAAAGAGCGGAATTAGGAATTTTTCAACAGGTGGGCTAGCTAAAGTGTTTAGGGTAAAATCTAATGAACTTTTTTTTTAAAAAAAAATTTTATTTTTTGTACTTACAGTTTTTATAGCCTTTCTAGAAATAAAAGTATATATTAAATCATATAAACCACACTAATTCATAGCTCCATTAACTAATTTCCAATAAGTTTTAACATAAAACAAATACATATTAAATGCAACAAGAAAACTGATATTATCTAAATAAAAATGTGTTCCAACAACGAAATTGAAAGTATACCTATTCTACTATGTATTTTTGTTACTTCCATGCAACTAAGTTCATAGAAAATTGGTATTTTTTGTACTTTAATAGATTAATACATACTGGGCTATATTTAAAAAAAAAAGTCAAATATATGTATGATTTTTTTCCACCCAAAAGCATCCCTGGGCTACATAACAGGTTAGCCTTTAACTTGGTCCGCCACGGTCAATAGCTACACCACTAGGAGGCCAATTAGCTATACTAAACTATGTACTATTCTCCTCCTATCTAATAAAATCACTTTGTTTCATATGTGTCATATTTATCCTAAACACAAACCAATGACGGTATCAGAGCATTACACTCTAAACTCCAACATTATTAAAAAAGAAAAACTTATACCATTCCATTGCTGCACTAGGGAGGCCAAGCCTCAAAACAGCAGGGACATGACTGTCAGCCCGTTTGGTAAACTATGAGAAAATCACTTATTATTAAAAATTGCTGTGAGAGAAAGCTATAAGGGAAAGCAACTAATGAGGTGCTTTCATTTTCTGATTATGCAAGAATCAGTTTCGAAGAGGCGCTGGGTTTAATGATTATGCTGCAATTTTTTTTCTAATTATGCGGGAATCAATACCAACAACACTTTTAACAAAAAGTTTACCAAACGCCAAACTGCTTTTTCTGACAGCCGATTTCTCTCACAGCAAATCTGACAGTGATTATTTTCATAGCACAGCAATGCCAAACTGGCTTCCCAAATTTTTTTAAAAATCACTTATCACCCCAAATAAGCAATGCCAAACAGGCACTGAGTGATGCCAAGGAGAAACCTTCCCATGTAGACTCAAATTTCTTTGAACGAAGAATGTAGATAGCGAACATAAGAAGAGAGAAGCAGAGGGAGATGGATGCTGCAAGTGGAACAGCTCTGAAGCCCAGAGGAGTGAAGTGGACAAGAGAATAGGTGAGGCCTATGTGAAGGGCAAGAGTTTTGAGGTCTCTGGGTCTTGGTGTAGCAACGAAACCAAAACTGGCTCCGAAAATAACCAAAGTGAGGAAATAAGCAAGGAAGTTAGCAAGGATATTAGGCATGAGGCTTGCAGGTACTGGCCTAACATGCCATACTGCTTTGCACCAAAGGCTTGCCCACAAAGGGTCTCAAGAGCTCCACTTAAGCCACTCTAAACCAAAAACGAAAGAACAAATAAGTTAAAATAAAATAAGTAACAAGCAATTGTGTTATATTGTATTATCAATTCTTCAATACATAATCCAAGAAATTAAATTATGGTCAAGTGTAAAATTACCCTTAAACTAATTGGCAATGCAAAAGAAAATGCAAAAAAAATGAGTGAGTGAGCAATTATAACATAAACATAAACACAAACATGAGCAAGGCCGGTGGCATTAGCCCATGAAATAATGGTTTGGTCATCTTCCTGGCTTTAAAAAAAATATAAAATTAGTTTCTTTACTTTTGTTTTTTTCCCCAACTTCTTTAATTTAATTAATATCTTATAATCTTATATATATAGTTATTCTCTTATCCGGATAATAACGTCCAGATGTCCGCATAAGAGAATTTCTGTATATCAGTTATTCTCTTATCTGGATGTCCGTACGTTATTATCGTGCGGATGCTATTATAAATAGGCAGGAAAGCAAGGAGGGGTAGTACAAAATACATGGCGTCCGTACGATACTAACGTCCGGATGTCCGCATAAGAGAATTTCTATATATATATATATATACGGATTTTTTAATAATACATTCATATTCTATACATGTCTACTGTTTTTTAAAAAGCAAACGTACAATAGTCGTATTGTACATGTACATACGCATTTCTAATGCTTAATACCCATATTTTTTACAAAATTTTCAATAATTCATACAAAGTTCACGTATTATACAAATAATTCTCATATATTATTGAATACAAATAATATATGTTATAAATATTATACTAAAACATTATATAGTGGCTCATTAATATCTACTTTGGACAGTCCCGATCTCTTGGACCACATGAGTCCAAGAGATTGTGGTCACCCACCGTTGGATATTAATCCAATGGTTCAAAAAAGTTTCTTAAAAGGAGTGCAAGAGTGAGTGAACCGTTGAATTTACATCTAGTGGTGAGTGACCACAAATCTCTTGGACCCCTGTAGTCCAAGAGATCGCGACTGCTACTTTGGATATGTTGAAACTAACAAATTAATATCAATAAAGTACAGACTAATGAAACTTGGAGGGTCCTTTTTTCTTTTTTAAATTTATATATTAAATAGTATAGATGGACCTTTTAGAATAGTATAGCCGGGCGGCTATACTACGATTTTTTTTCAAAAATTATTATAGTGACACGTGGTCGCTCGAGGGCCCTCTTTTAAAAAAACAAAATTGAGTACCGCCGCGCGGCTATACTCAGTTTTTTAAATTTTTTTAAAAAGGTATAGCCGCACGGCTATACTATTTTACAAACCCTTTAAGTAGCATAATATGTATTTCTCTTTTTTAATTACTTTGATTAGTAATTATGTTTTAGTTATTATTTACTCAGTGAATATTAAAGGAAAAAAAGAAAAAGAAAAATTGAATTACTATTTATTAAGTAATATAATTCATGAAGTTAATTAACATATTTAACACTAATTATTCACTAAATAAATAATAATTTAAATATAATTACTAATTTAAATAATTAAATCAGTCAAATATATTATTTAATTACTAAAAATAAATTTTAAAAAAATTAATTAACCTAAAAATCCTAAGTTT